ATTTATTCACACATTTTCCCTCTACGATCATGTTACACACACACACACACACACACACACACACACACATATAAATATATTCATATTCACTCCTCCAGAATTCTTTCAAAATGTACCATGCTCCTGTGCTGCTTCTCTTGGTCATAACCAACATATCCTTAGTGAATTCAGTGCTTCTATTCCTCTCTATATCTTTTACAAACTTTCACACCGAGAACACAGCATACATTATCTTAATATGAAGCAATGTGCCGTCTCATAACAAAATGCATCCTCAAACACACTGATAGCAGCATAAACCATGAACACTAAATAAACTGTAGAAATCTGCCTTTGATTCTTAAGTAATGGGAACTTTCAATTCAAAAGCAATTAGATTTTTTTTCTTAATTCACATTGTTAAAAAGAAGGAAAATCTTTTAATCTTCATTATAAAGAATCAATAAATGCTAAACCTAAATGGAACAGGCAGCATTAGAAACAGAAAAGATGAAATAAAAAAAAATAAAAGGAACATTTAAAATACCAATCAAAATATCTAAATCTACAATTAAGTACTACCATTACAGTTGAGAAGTGCCGTCACATCAAGATTTTTCCAAGTTCAGCAGAATGTTTACGAAATAATATTAACTCTGAGCTCAACAGGCTATTTATGGAATAATATTAACTCCAACTCGAATGGATATTTGCAGAATGATAACAACTCTAAGCTCGACAGAAAATTTATGGAATAATATGAACTCCAAGCTCGACAGGCTATTTACAGAATAAAATCAACTTTAAGGTTGACAGGATATTAACAGAATAATATTAATTCCATCTATGAGCACCTCTCTTAGAGCTAATTTTTTAGGGAGGATATATTCCTAAGGATTTCATAAGGACTAACTATATCTAAATTTCGGAATTGACACTATGAATTTTGATAAACAACAATATCCATTTTTCCTTTTGTATGTACATATTACCTACCATGAAAAGTACCCCTTCAAGCATACCATTAGCATCTCTGTACAAAGGATACACAGAAACACCAGAACCAGAACTCAACAGCAAGGATGGCAAAACTGCCGTATTGATAATATGGTAGAAAAAAACACAACGCACTAAGTAAAGAAACTACAAAACTATAAACATACTTTAAGATCAAACATACAGTATATTTAGGAATCTTCCATCCAATATCTCAGAACTATGCTGCAGTGTGAGATTCACTTATATAAAACAATATAGGATTATTAAAAAATCTATGTAAAATAAAAAGCTGCAAGATTCTGCATGTAAAATTACACTTCTTGTGACATAACAAAACAATTCAAGAAATACAACCAAAACAGCATACTAAAAAACAATCATTAAGATTAATATACATATACAATATGACATTCAACTATACAAATATCTATGCAGAAAATTACTGCCTACATTTCAACCCATATCACCTGAACAAATGCCTGTGAAACAAAGGAAATTAATTCAAACATGTAAATCCTATAAGCAAGTACTATATGTACAACTATCCATGCACTGACCCCCTACAGTACTACATAACACACACCAATACAATAGATATTCAGGAACTAGGTACTATATGAACATATACCTTAATAACCAGAAAGCGAGAGGACGACTGGCGACCACATTCTGACCCCCTATCATAGTAAGCACAAGAATCTGAGCAGAAACCCTTAATCATTTTTTTCTCCCTTACTTGAGATTATCAATATTCCAATTCAAATAACAAAAATTTTAAAAACAAACAATTACTTTTATGTAAAGGAGTTTCTAAGTTAACAAATAAAGTAAGCTTTCATATCCAATAACCAAATTCTTTGTGATAACTTTAGTATCCTATTCATACACTTTTCTAAATGTGCAATCCTGTCCTGTGCACTCACAGATATATATTGACCTATTACGAATATATTGACCTCTACTTGCCTTTGGGGCAGGCCTGTAACACAACAGCTGCTAATATATATGTATTCATGGCTTTTGATTGATATGTGTACAGGATGAGAACTACTGCTGTTCCCTTGTTCCATACATTTATACAATATTCATTTTCTTCTTACTAAAATTATGTCTATGGGAATAATTCCAGTAAAAAAAAGATAATATACTTTATCATTTTTAATTCTATGTTTAAACAAAATATTTCTTTGCAACACTACTAGCAGTGAAAATGAGACACATACATTACAGCTTACAAGCAGAAAGACTGGCAACCAATTTAAAATAAGATGCAATTTCTTCTTTTCTGAACTTCCACAGGTTGGAGGATCTTTAAAGTATGGAGGCAATAAGGACTTATTCATTTCTAAATAAAAGGTCATAATAGGTGGTAACATTTTGACCAGAACCACTTAAAAATACTAATAGTCTCATCGCAAATCTGGAATTCCTTCTATAAGACTGTATGTTTACTACTTTCTATCCTTAATTACTTAACTTTAAACAAAAAACATAAAACTCAAACTTAAAAATACTCTGATTTTACAAACTAATATTCTCATCCCAAATCTGGAATTCCTTCTATAAGACTGCATGTTTACTAGTTTCTATCATTAATTACTTAACTTAAAACAAAAAACATTACAAACTTTCATGATGAAACTTTCTTTTATCATACCCATTCTACCCTAATATCACCAGCAGAAGTCAGCACCATGGCCTCGTACCAATAGCTCTAATGCTACAGTACACCTGATCTCATTAGTGAAAATTCTAAGGCTGTGACTAATACTGCAATGCATCACATATGAAAGTGAAACTCAGTTAACATCAAAATGTGGCTGAATCAGTCAATTTAATTGTTGAGATACACAGACAATTATAGTAGCTGTCATTACACAAACATGGTTTAAATGCTTTTAGGTTTATCTGGACCCAACAAAGATACCATTTTTTCTTGACAATTATTACAACTTCAGCAATTACGAATTTGTAACCTTCACTACTAATTCATTTATAACAATATTATATTCGCATCACCAATGCCAGCATATATGACTGAAAACAGAAGGAAAGAAACTCCAAGCTTCATGGTTTGAGTGTGAATGAGAGTGATCACCATGAGGCTCAACTAATCCGCTCTATGAGAGGGAGACTAAACAAATTCATTGGATCTAACAGAAAAGATTCTAAACCTACTCTGTCCCACTGAAAACCATCAAAACGTATACAACAAATTCATTATGTTGAGCAATGTAGGGTCAATAATCTCAAATTATCTTAGGATAATCCTGTCCATCAACCTGGAAACAAGAGCAATTTGAAAGCTATTTAATTACATACCTTGCGCAGCGGATGATTGTGTGCATCCTCCAGAGCCCTGACCTCTAAAAACTGGGCATCTGTTGTCAGTCTGAATTTCATATGGACTGGACAATTGAGTTGGAAGGATCTGAAATAAAGAGATAAAAATAAGAACACTGATTTCAAACACTATTCTGCTGTCTATAGATGAGCTTATTTAAATTTCTTTATGGACACTGACTTCAAAAACTATTCCGCTGTTTACAATAAATTTTAGATTTTTTGGGGAGGGCACAAACTTTAAAAACTATTCTGCTGTTTACAATAAATTTATCTAATTCTTTTTGGACACTAACTTTTAAAAGATATTCTGCTCTTTACAATTAACCTTACGCAGATTTCTTTTTGGTTATTATCCAGAATATCAACTTTTCCTTCCGGGTAATAACCATGACCTCCACACTTCACACAGCTTAAAGCAACATTACACTTAGACTGGCTCCTCATTTTACGATAAAATCACCAGGAAAGTCGGAAAGCCACATCTTAGCCAGAATATACGTGTGGGAGGTTTGTTAACTAATCCAGCAGAGGAAAATGTCAAGTTCATGGGATCAATGGCACAGATCCTCAGAATTCGTTAACATACTGCGGGTTGACAATGTTAATCTTTCCTTACTTCTATTCGTTCCTGTTCTGGAGTAAACCTCTTTTATTTTTCATATTTTATTTGATTATTGTTCTTAATCTTTTTGATTTTCCTTAAGTAGATATATTAGTTTCCTACCATGGTACCCCTATTTTCTGCATGTCATAGCAAAATTTTATGGCACTTGTTACTTACTACATGAATCATAAACTAAATATTTATATTCTTAGAATTGACAGGTCCTGCAGATCTAATAAGTATTCATACACTATCAATAAATTTTGGATTTGATTGAACTACTAATTCACTTTACTCTGAATACCATGAGTGACATCTGCTAAAAAACTAAAATATTAGATATATCAAGATTAACAGTATCAATGTAACACATAGGTCCAACATCTGGGCTACTGGGCAATTATTTTCTCATCAGTCACTGAGACAAGATTTACGACCAACAATATATCAATTTTGTGTCATATCCCTTCCACTCTTAATTCAACTTCCTTATGTGATAATGCTTTATCAATACAAAAGCTGACATATATTTAGAAGACACACTAAGTGGCTTTGAAAACAAGATCTTTTTCTTATCTAGCCGCGTTTTATCCAAATCCATTTGAAAATAGTTGTGAAACCTACAAGTCCAGTGTGGTATTCTCATGTGATTAACACAGCCTGGGAAAGTCTGGGAAAGTCCAACAAACCTATACCTTGAATATTCTGGCAAGATAGAACTTGGTTTGGTTGGAATAATTTAACAATATATTCCTGGAAAGGTCTACAAAGCATCTCTTACAAATACATTTGGTATCACGTTTAATGGCCTTTGACAGAGCGCCAAGTCTCTGAGGTTTTATGCCTACCAACACGAGGTCAGAGGCAGATGTCTTCTTAACATTTACCTTATATCAGTTTTACAAAACATATCAAAATAAGCCAATGACACTTACTGGCGGCTTGGCCTGATACCTTTCCCACGTGATTTGAAATTAGGTTTGCCTCCATGAATGCAAGCAAAGTCCATCTCCGCATTGACCAAGTTTTTATTAGCAATTTCCATCAAATTACGACTCTTGACGCGTTCTGCATACTTCTGAATGGACCTGGTGTGTCTCTTGTACAGCTGCACCAGGTGTTGCTTCTCGTACGTTTTGACAGCTTGTTCCAGCTTTGTTAAACTGTCAAAACGAGTACCAATGATTATGTGCTCTGCCATCTTTGTTGCTGGGTCTATATATGTATAGTGCATCCTTCTTTAGCTTGTGAGTGAATTACAACGCGAAACACAAGAAATAATCGGCTAATTTTGTGTCTATCCATTATATCGATAGGGTCTCCCCTTATAACCAAGACTCTCCTCGTATCTTTTTTACATTGTCGATAATTTCAGTCATTACCAGACTTCTCAGACTCAACAGCAGGGTATTTCTGGTACAAAAACAACAAGAACAACTTATTCCAACCATCCGGAGAAGGTAATACCATTGTTTAATCAGGAAAATCTTCTGAGATAACACATGTAAACATCACACACGTCTCCAACGCGAGGCCCTCGTCTGCCATTGGTCAAGCCTCGACCAATGGGAAGCTCGCTCGCCCGGTGCTTATCAGTGACATCATGGGTGACGTCATTGTTTGTCTCCCAAAACTCTACTTGGGTGAATGTACTTTACAAGGTGTTGTTACAGGATATTTTGATGTTTTAAATGCTTCCTATAAATTGAAGGGTTTTAAGAAATAGATAATCATGAAAAATCCACGGAAAGATCAAATCATATAGCTAAAAAGCTGTGTAGGTAAAATAATTGCAGAATGGAAGGCATTCACGTTGCGAATACAATCTTTATAATATATTATTCTGATCAAGTAATACGGAGACTATAAACCCATTAAATCATTAATCGAAAGTGTATATCAAGAAGAAATTTTCTTATCCTTGAATGGCATAGATTTCAATGCATTATATTTATTTTCGGCGGAATTCATTTATAACACCTAATTTTGACATTTTTTCTTGCACTTACACCCAAACATCTAACCTCCATGATAGTCCATATTTAGTTTTGAAAAATAAATAGATAAAAATAAGTAGAAATGAATATAAGCCCTTTCTATTCTGAATACTTTAAAACATCCCAAACGCACGTATATTTATGTGTCTATACACGTACGTCAGTATACAAAATATATAAAGCTTTGAGCTAGTAGGCCCTTAATTAAAGGAATTCTACGGAAATTCGTCTGCTAAACGGAAACAAAAGACGACCAAGGGATGGACGTCACAATTTTTTTTTTTTTTTTTTTTTTGGTGGCTGTATTTTTGCTTGTTTTTATCTAAAGCAATATGGAGATATTTTCCCATGTTAAAATAAATTAAACATAGACATTGCTGAGATATTTCCCATGTTAAAATAAATTCAACATAAACATTGCTGAAACCATCCTCACGACCCCAATTTCGAACCTTCGAGATTGTGTTCGAGTCCGAGTTCGTGAAGCAAACAACTCGACGCTGATCATGTATCCGCGTCACTTTTAGTAATTACAATTAACGGATCAGTTAATTTTAATTGGAAGATGAAGATTACTTGGCGAGAGGATTTAGAACTAAATATTAAGAAGTAAAAACTAAAAGAAAGACATAAAACCTAAGAACTAAAACTAAGAAACTAAAAACTAAAGATTCTAAAAATCAAAGAAAAAAAGCTAAGAGTATGAACTAAATTCTGAAAACAACTAAGAACTAATAAATACGAATTGAAAACTAAGAACCAAGCATAGAATGGAGAACAGTATTTGGCCAAGACAGAATGGTAGAGAAAGAAATAGAGAGAGAGAGGGAGGGAGGGAGGGAGAGAGAGAGAGGGAGAGGAGAGAGAAAAAGAGAAATAGCGAGGAGGGGGCAGAGTAGAGATAAAGAGAGAGAGTGAGGGGGGAGAGATAGAGAAAGAGAGAGAGGGGGGAGGGGGGAGGGGAAAGGAGAGAGAGAGAGATAGAGAGAGGGGGGGAGGAGGAATAGGAGAGAAAGAGAGAGTTGGAAATTATTGATTTAACATATCCCAGCATAGTGCATGATACAATCCCAAGCTTTGTTGATGAATGATACAGCTGTAGCTTTAATAAGATGTTTCCAATCTTTATTTACTCATTCATTTATTATCTATATATATCTTTAATTTCTTTATTATTATTTTTTTCTATTCCTTCTCTACGGTCGTCAGTTATCATAGGAATCAGAGAAATTCCAAATTTACATTAGATGTTAATCTGTTCCAGCCACACACAC